AGCAAAATTTAGCAATATGACCTTTTCGGCCGCAAATGGAACACTTGTAAATTTTGCTATACATATGTGCATAGTGAGTGCTTGGTTTTGAAGAGTTAGCACGAGACATATATATATATATATACACACATACATACATAGAAACCAATAAAATGTGTGTGTATATGATATTGAGCTTAAAGTGCTAAACACACATAGTATAAAACCTAATCTAAGTATACCCAAGCTTGATGAAGGTCTTTAATAAGCACGACTTGGTAATCTTACGGATGAACCTTGAACTTGGATCTTTAACTTGAATTGCAATGCTTCATACCGATATTCCGCTAACCTCCATTGGATATGGTCGTTGAAGCACAATTCCATCCAACCTCTAACACATTGTTTGCCTAGAATAAACACGAAAACACAAATACTAGACAAATAATATTAGTCGTAAATTTTTTGTTAAAACATCATCAAAACAAAAAGGTTAACAAAAAAGTCAGGCCGAGGGAAATGAAGTTGATTACGCATGCCTTTGGAAGTTATACGCATTTGCCAAAAAGAAACATAATGGGCATTTTAGGATCATAGAATATTGTGGTGTTCATACATGTAGCAATCCAATATTAGAGCAAGATCATAGTGGTGCATCTGCCTCTTACATAACGCAGTTGATTATGCCAAAATTAAAAAAAAAGCTTGAACTAACTCCTGGTAATATAATTATTAGAGTGCTGGATACGAAGTTCTTTGAAATATCATATAGTAAGGCATGGAATGCAAGGAGAATTACGATGATAAAAATATTTAGTGCTAGGAGAAGTCTTACGCGACACTTCCTCAATACCTTGATGCAACCAAAAGAATCAATCCTGGATCTAAATATAAACTTATAACTAAAGAGATCAATCCGGGAGTTCATCGATTCACCTCTGTATTTTGGGCATTTGGTCCTTTGATCGAGGAACATTTTATAGACTCAATCATTACATTTTTAAGCGGCGAGAGGATAGAACAAGGTGGGTGATGTTATTGACACCAAAAAATAAAGAGATTGTAGGGTCTCGTGACGTACGGGTGAGATCAGTAAATATTGTTAGATTTGCTATAGATGAATGATAGGCTACAGACTAACACGGTCATAATTACATCATCAACATGAGGGGCATAATGCACATGCACTTATAAAATACCACAATTACAAAATTGTCATGTTCGCATGTTATAGCGGTTTCGTCCAAGCAATTTGGGGCTGCAAATACTTCGTATTACACGTACGCTTCTGAGTGGTATCAAACTATCAATCAAGCAATTATAGAGATTCATACAAGCCATGTTTCCATCCCATTGTAGATAATTGTTACTGGCCATCCTATAAGGGGTCGCATGTGTTACCTCCTAAATATAAGAGACAAGCCGAACGTCCGCGATCAACACGCATAAAAATTACGATGGATGAAGGATGGGAAGCAGCTCCAAACAAAAATAGATGTGGTTGTTGCAGACAACTGGGTCATAATAGATATCACTGTCCTACAAATCCAAACAGATAGCAATTAATGAGTACAATTTATTTAATTTATAATTTTATTCTACTTTATTTATAAGTCAATGCATGCTCTTAAATTCTGTAATTTACTTTTAATTCAATTTATTATATGTTGTAATACTGACACATTTTAGCTTTATATGTGTAGATATTTATAGAATGCAAGTGGGACCATTGACATATGAGGACTTATATGACCAAGATCGACAATGACTCGCAAAGATAGACTCAAGGGAGATATATTACATTTTTATTATTTTCAATCACTTTAATTTTTCAATGTTATTATTGTTACTAATCATTTAAACTGTTTAATATATGCAGGCCCCGAGTATTACTATTGTTGATTATACTCATGCACATTTGAGTTGGGATTTAACGGATCCACGGGTCCAATATTATGTTCATCGAGCAAGTTTTTTTGAATGTTCACAAATAAAATGGGTAAGACTCGATTGGCCTCCCTTGACGATATTGATTGAACGATGGAGGCCTGAGACAAATATATTCCACATGCGTCAAGGAGAGTCAACTATTACTCTGCAGGATGTACGAGTTTTACTTAGCCTCAAAGTGGATGGAGATGCTGTTAAGGGTACCGATGACTTTAACTGGATAGGAGTGAGTGGATGATTTCTAGGTCAAGCTCCTAATATGAAGGGTAGTAAGAACAAGCTTGAGCAATTACGAAATAATTATATGAATGTATTGATCGATGCAACTGATGAGATCGTCAAGAGCCATGCCCTTGCGATATACTCCATATGATTGATACCATTCTATTTCCGGATTCAACTAAGGATTTGGTGCATGTTAGATGGTTGCCACTTCTTGAGGATCTTGAGGAGCGTGGAGAATTATCTTGGGGAGTGTAGTGTTAGCTTATCTCTATACGGAGATAATAAAAGTGGCATTCGTGCAAAATAAAGAAATCAAAGGTTGCATCAGTTTGTTGCAAATATGGTCATGAGAGCGATGACATTTGGTAACACTAGATTTGAGGGAGACCCGCGTTCTCGATGGTCAGATTCTGTTAGGATGCATGTATATTCGTTTATAATAGATATGATTACATGTAATTTTATATATTTATTTCAATCTATACTAAACCTTTATATATCAAATAGATGGAATGTTTCCAGATATTGGCAAACCTCTCCAAAGGGTCATGAAAACTTTTACAGGAGCGAGTGTGATCAAATGGAGGATGAACAGGTATAAAACCATAATATCTAACTATGTTCAATCAATACATCATATGTTACTAATATATAAATTTTCGTAAATTTCTTTATAGGTCAAGTGGAAGCCCTATGAACTGGTTTTAGCCTTACTACCAAATATTTGCATATATGGTGAAGGTATATGGCATGTTTGAGTATCGATTATATGTTTTGAAATTGTCGAAATGCACATGCCCGATTGTGTGCTTCAACAATTTGGGTTAAAACAATATATTCCAGATCCTGTAGAAAGAATAGAGCGAAATCCTCAAAAAAGAGCATATTACAAATTGGGAGATAATTCGTCATTCTTACATTGAGAATTGGGAGTTGAGGGAGGATGTTGTAGTGATGGAGAGGGCTGATGCACTAGCACTAGATGTGTACTTACGTTGGTATTGGGGGGAGGGGGGTTACTCGCCGATGGATATTTCGGGAGAACAAAGCATCTAAGGAGTATATACCGAGAGGTCCAGTTGAGAAAGAGTTGGTAAGTATATATGCAAAATATACAATTATTTTGTGATTATTATTTTTATTATCATCCAATTGCTAATAATCCTCTTTCACTTTTTATCTTATAGGTACAAGAAATCAATGCGGTTGCTTTTATTGCACGTGATGCATTGAGATCAACTACCTAGCCAGCGACGAGGAACACATTTGTTCACATCATAGGAAAGATTCAGCCCGCTCTCAGAAAGACGCGTCATGCAAATCATGATAGACGTGAGGAACGACTCATAAGGTACGAGTGTCGACGGGTTCAAGGACACACAGGGGCAGACTCAAGTCGTGCACATGATGAAACAAAATACTCACAGCAGGCTCAAGCCGGATGTTCACAGCAAGTTTAAGTCGATGAGGATGTCATGCACTCACAAGTTCACACACAACTAGACGATGAGATCATTCAAGCTCATGTTGAAGACAAACGGGAAAGGGGGAGAGGAAGAATAGGAAGAGTGAGAGTGAGAGCGAGAGGAGAGGGAGTTCTAAATATTTGCTAAATTTCGATATTACTTGTTTTGTGATGTTTATGTTTAATATGCTAGTTGGACACTATGATGTTTATATTGCTTATTCAAAATATTTGTTGACTTACATGTTATGTTTTTATTAGAGAGTGGTTATAGATGTAATATACAAATGAAGATATGTGTTTATTTGTGATTAAAATTGATTATGGATTGATATATGGTAGCAAGAGAGTTTTTATTAAACTTGACAATTCTAGTCGAGGATTGATATATGTTAGCAAGAGACAATATTTTCCAGCAAGTATGTGGGCTGGAAGGTCTCTGCTAAATGATCGGGTTTGGGAACCCGACCATTTTGTGCAGATCATGAGAACTCTCTGCCAAATGGTCGGGGTTGAGAACCCCAACCATTTCCCGCAAGTTTGTGCCAAATGGTCGGGATTGGGAACCCCTACCATTTTGTGACAAATGGTCGGGATTGGGAACCCCTATCATTTTGTGGCAAATGGTCGGGTTTGGGAACCCCAACCATTTTGTGGCGGCAAACATATGTCTGTTAAATGGTCACCATTTTGTGGCAAATGGTCGGGTTTGGGAACCCCAACCATTTTGTGGCGGCAAACATATGTCTGTTAAATGGTCAGGGTTGGAAACCCCAACCAAAATATCCATATTTTGCAACCCCGACTTACTTGGCTTTGAGAAAACTAATCACACAAAGCTTCTAGGGTTGGAGGGTGGGCGAAGGGTGGACTAATTAGGAACTTGATTTTTTTTAAACGATCCCGTCTCTAGCCATGATGTTGACGTGACCAGAAACTTGATCAATTTTTGTAATAAAAATGGGACTACGTCGATTTTTAAAAACAAAATTATGGATTGGGTCTTGTTTAAAATTTTCTTCTTTACACTTTCCTTTTTTATTTTTGTGGTCAAGATTCCGTTTTAGAGGGGAAAAATGGCCTATTTCTTGTTCAATTAAATTTTGATCTAGTATAACTTGGAGTGCTCAGATTTGAGCGTTGCCGAACCTTCCAGCGGACCATTTTAGGTGGTGGACGGGTTAGCAAGGTTATTTAGCTACTCAAGAGCCTGTTGGACATGATCAGTCAGCCTAAAGACCTCTCTATGACTAATTCATCTGTAATTACTGAAGACACAACTAATTTGTACACTTAAAGAGACTCCTAACAACTTCGGTACAATATAAAACAAAATAAAATAAAATAGAAATTGCGATCATAGAATGGTGAACAGGGAAAATAAGAAGACGGTCAAATTCGAATATCATCATCCCGGTACGTGTGCATCAAAGTAGAACCATAAAGACAATCAATATATAACATAATTAAGTTACAAGGAGGAGCCACAGAACCAGTGGCAACTTACGGAAAAAATGACTTGAAGGGTTGCATTATACAAATAAAAAGAACTGCATATTTACATTGTTACACTTGTGACCCATGAAATACTCATAGAACAGATTCCAATAACAAATAAAATCTGCATTCAGAGTGTCATCCACATCAAGTATTTGGCCCTCCTGGTTCACTACCAGGATCTTTGTTTCCCTGACCCATTGGCGTTGCATATTTATTAAGTGCAGCAGAGTAAGCACTACCAGTTAAACTCCCCCTCATTTTTCCTGTCGGCCTCCAATCATTATCACGTGGTCGATCTGCTATGATACCCAACGATTGATTACCTGCCTGTGTTGTACTCGATGCACCAACTCTTGATGCTTGAGGATTACTTGCTCCTGGGTGAAGCTTTTGTTGTGCTATTTTCCTGGCTAATTCTCTAGCTGCCCCCAAGGGCAGTGTTGGATTGGATCCAAATCCATTGGACATGATCAAACTTCTTAGGTTTGATAAATTACGGTTGGAATATTGATCGCTTGACGTGGAAACTGGAGAGTCTCTGTAGGCTCCTACTCTATGTAGGCTTGATGCTGTCCTTGTGCTTAATGGGTTTGGTGCTGGTTGGCTGACCCCATGTTGCATCCTTAGGCTCTGAATCTGCTGGGAGGTCTGCTGATCCTTACCCTATTGCAGGTAGCACGAGTGTGACTTAGTAAGATAATATTGCCAATCAAATCTATAAGGCGGAGTATGTGCAATGCAGGAGTTCCGGAATATTCCAAATTGCTTCTACTAAGTGTTGCATGGTTTAAACAGTAGAATGTTCTCAGCTTAGATAATGAGATAGCTTGAGTTTCTGAAATTGTGTGAAGTGGATGTTTTACCACTTTTATTATAATGCCACTTTTATTATAATGCCCGTGACAAGACTTGGTGGATTTCATACTCCATCTCTATCAAGGAAAATATGTTATCATGTTAAATTTCAGTAACTTCGTTCTCCAATAGAGCCCACATACCAGGTGGAACATCAGGTTATAAGGGGCGAAGGAGAGTATAAAACCTGAATATGCTTCTCAATATCTAGAAATTGAGCGCCAGATACTATATATAAAATACCAAAGTTGCACCTGATTCCAATTTAACCATCTGACCCTCCTTAGAGCCCACAATGGTGGGAGCCTCATGCACTGGGCTACCCTTTATACTATATATAGAATACCAAAGTTGCACCTGATTCCAATTTAACCGTAAGGGAAATTTATGAGAATTAAACTCCTTCAGTGTTGTGCTTTAATGCTTTATTTACTGCATGTGCCAAGGCAGGATAAAAGATGAGGTTTGTGTTAAATAGCTGACAATCAGAATCCAACATAGTTCAATCTACATGCTATGAGTCTTACGGAATATTCGTGGCCACAACACTGAATACTCAAAAGTAATTCCTTGCTTGCTTTAAGTCTTAAGAAAGGAAATACTCTAGGTCTCTATAATAAATTATATTGAAATAACATAAGTTACATCAAAATAATGCAAATTATATTGACACAACACATGTTATATTGTAATAAGGTAGAATTATCATGTGTCTGGGCTATTTGAAAAGGTTACGTAAGGTTTAAGTTATGTTAGGTCATATAATGCAAAATAATGAGTTATGTAACGGATTTATTTAACAACAAAAAGACCATGCAATTTTTTTGGTTTTTTGTTTTGTTTTGTTTTTACTTTTTTGTTTTTTTCCTATTTTTTGTTTTTTTATGTTTTTCCAGGCATCAAGTCACAGCACAAAAAAAAGGTTTTCTATAATATAGCCAAAGTAGACTAAAAATGTATAAACAAAAAAATATAAAATGGTAAGATATTTTGTTTGCAAAACTTCAATAATATGTAGATGTCAAGAAAGCAGATATTTCTATTTCATAATGTAGCCTATAGTTAGGTAGGTGGAGTAAATAGTTTAGTTATGCCTTGTGGGTATTACAAATTTAAAATATCTGCCCCCCACGCACGAGCACACACTAATGTCATGTATTCTTCTGTTAAACCACACATTGAGTATCCAAATTTTAACGACTTGAGAACAAAAAAAGGAAGTACGTAAAGGACAAAGGAAACAGTAATGGATTATATAGGCATGTTTAAAAAGCAATTAAGAGGTTGGATAATAGATCCAGTACTTCAATATAATATTAGTAGTTATTCATGCTAAAAAATGTATAAAGCTATTTTTAGTATAAATTCCTTATTCATAAGTACCTGGGTCAATGATAGGTGTGAAATCAATAAATGTCGTATTTCCGCGTCATGGCTTGCTGTATTGCTTCCATCTGAGGTTGCTGTCACTAGAGTAGAAGTTTGATGTGTGGGAGATGATGGATCACCTGTGTCCAAGGTAGCAAAACTGGGTCCATTTATCCGCATCCTTTTAAATGAATTAGATGGCTGTAACTGTACAGGAAGAGCTTGAACTGCAACAGGGGTTCTGTTGACCCGGTTGATTGTTGAATATCCAAAGTGCGGTTGTAACTGCATATTTTCTGCAAGTTGTCTATCTTCTGACATTTGCTGAAGAGAGAAATTTGGTTGAGAATCTTGAAGGCTGGCCGGAGGTTCTCCATGTGCAGGAGAAACGGCATCTGTCATAACAGGGTTAACTTGAACAGCAGATAGAGCCGCCTCAGATGTTCCAACTGCAGAAACATCTTGCGTAGCAGGAGGTAGTGATCCACTGGATGCAGTATTAGCAAACAAGTAATGAGATAGAAGATGATGAATGTCCTCGAATGGTTTTGTTTCTTGCATCTCACGTGCATGGTTCTCACATTGGTCATCTTCTCCCATTGTTAAATCAACATCGACTGTTTCTATGTTTGCAGATCTAGAAGATACAAGCTCCATGTCGCAGTCTCTGTGTCCTGGTAGGTTTTCCTTGTGCATCTGATCCTTATTTCCATTATGTTGCGCAAGCTTCCATGAGCCATCAGCAGAGATAACTACATCAATAACATCTTCACCCACCTCTTTTAGTATCTGTAAAGTGGAAAGGCATGGTGAATTTAGGAATAGAATTTATAGTACAAGAGAATTTTCAATTATCGCCTGAAAGAATCTTACATGCTAAACATCTAAAAAAGTTGCCTATCTGAACAACCCATAAATCCACGGCTACTATGTTTTGTAATTTTTAGCTCAGAACTGTAAGTTCATGCTCATTTAAACAGTCTTTAACACATTATGCATATATCCTAAAGTTTCAGAGGGGCAAAACTCCGTGTTATCTCAATTCATACAAAATATGAATAAAAGGATCTAAAAAACTTTATTTCTAACTTTCCCCTTGAGATGTAATTATATAAACATAAATATGGGCAAACCAATATATAAGCATAGCTCCAGAACAGTAGAGAGGAATATCCTTTTAGAGCAAGAAATGAAAAAGGTAAATGGAAAAGATTCGTCACTAATATAAGACTCCAAATTTATCTATGACTAACAGTAGAACCCAGGTGGTTGTTATAACACTACATAACTCGAGCACTGAGAACCAATAATATCCAGCTGAACGAAAAGAAAAGAAAAGGAAAAAAAAGAGCTTCAGCAAGAAATTCTTAAATAAACTTCCTCCCATCTCAAAATTCTAGTTCAAACTTTGACCTGAAAGATTACGAATTAGAAATTTTATTGAACATAATGTTGTAATACGTACTGAGATCCTCTAAATAAGAACTCATATGCCTAATACCGACAACCATAGCTCAAACTATGTGCATGACTGTAAGAGGTTCGCTTCATGGAGATAATTTTGAGCGATTAATTTTCATGAAAATTTGGCTTTGTTTTAACAGTTCGATAAGATAATCAACTTCTCTGCATTTAGCAAGGATCTCATGAAAGGAAATGAATATAAACAATTTATAACACTATATTCGAGCGTAAAGAATAAGAAAGAACTTGCCTTAACCATATTTTGGTCAATACACAGGTCCATGAAGCTAACAGACTGATTGCAGCATGGGCAGCGCCAGACTGGCTTCCTTGAGTTCATCTCCAAGAAATTATCATAATCAAAGCACTATATGGGCACAGATAAACTCCATGAATTATAAATCCACATTAAAAGGATAGCTCATGAGATACAATGAGATTCTAACCTGATGGTGTTTGCAGAGATGACCTTTAACAGGAGTTTTTATACGTCTAAAGCTGCTCATGGTCGGATAAACAAGTACAATAAATTACTCAGTTCAGTATATGAATACAGAAAAACCAATTTGTGCAGAAAATTTATTTGTTCGTCACAACTTGATTCATAAAAGCCAGTTCAGAGAACTTGCATTTTTTTTATATCAAGGAACGAAATTGATACGATAATGGTTACAGGTAAATAACAAAAAGTTAAATATTAAGATCTGCTGTCCCCATCACATAAGATTAAAAAAACAAGTAACATGAAGCCATAACCAGAAAGCATTTATTATTGAGAAAAAGATGTGAATAAGATCAATGAAGAACAACAGCATATGACTGAAGAACAACAAAAACAGTCCATGTCAAGCTAAAAACTAAACTCTATTAAAGTTAATAGGCTGAAACTAACTTTTTTAAAGATATTTCGGGTTTCTGTCTAGCATACAGATCAAGTCAGTTCACTTTGTGAAAACTCTTTAATTGCTGCTGTACATAATGATTCAGCATAACTAGTCAATGATCTTATTTTGCACGCACAGAGCCCCGCACTATGTATGCATGATGCATCAATTAAGATTCTTTTGCAAGATATGTATATTTTTTTAAGATAATTTTCTGCTTGTTAACAAAACTCGGAAGTTGTAATGGTGTTGAGGATTATATGTTTATACTCGCATACATATAATAACTCTGATGTTGGGTCATGGGAAGCATGAGTCATCATGCTGTATGTGATACAACAAAAAAATGCTACATTGCCCTAATTAGCGACATGAATGTACACAGCATTACTTTAGAATTTTGGATAATATGCAGCTTGAGGTACTGTAATACCATGACAGCACCAACTAGCTGACTGGGACAGGATACAGGAACAAGGTATGATGCTTCAGATCATGATTATTGTGACACTGCTAGGGCAAACGACACAAATAATATGACTATTATTCATTAATTATAAAATAAATTATTTCATGCAAGTATTGTACTGAAGAAAGCTGTTGAAAGCATCCATGTTGTCCCTACAAGAATAAGATTGCTACAAAAATCTTAAAATAGAAACGTTATTGTAGTAGCCTTAAACAAGAGTTCGCTGCATAAAATCATTAGATGAGATGCAAAATTTTGAAGTTCTTCCAGTATAAGTTAAATCACCTGATTGGACAATTAAGTGTTATTCTTGATGCTCCTTCAATTATCTCAGAATCTGACAAGTGAAAGGAAAAACCTCATGTTAATATTTTAGAAACCAGACAATTCAAAGAGACACAATGCAATTCATTCTCCTTAAAAGTGGGACTGCATGCAAATCAATGTCCAAATGTACTTCTGGACGTAAGTGGGATGACCAGAGGGCTGCTTGGAGCCAAAGATTAATTGGCACCTAAGAGGATGCTTAGGTTGCTTTAAGACATACTCAGCCTAAGAAACATGAAAATGTATCCAAAAAACTATGGTTTCTTGTGAAGTTGTTAAATTGGTTGCTAACAATAACTTAAACTACTCCATCGCTAGTTGGAATGTTCTGATTTCCTGCAATAAAAGCAACAACAATGATAACAATCATACCCCTTTTCTTTTCCTCTTCTCTCTATTTCACCTCTCTTTTCTATTATTGTTGTCAAAACAGATGTGTGCACAACTAACGCAAACAGTGAATAGTATTTTCCCATTACCCCCAACAATAATAATCTTGGGTTATCTCCTGTAGTCACTAGAAAAATCTATTATTTTTTTAGCATGGGCAAGGAGATATTAAAGATGTCCCATAAAATCAATGTTAACCTAACTGAATTACAGTCACTTAAAAAAGAGGGTGAAAGGCGGGGATTTGTCGATCAAATGCTTCAATGAATGAAGTACTAAGAAGAGATGGAGAGATCACGCCTAACTAGAAGCATTAAGAAATTTTAACTTGAAGAACATCAACGGAAATTTCTACAGAAAGGCTTAATCTCATTCCATGTAGAAAGACAATAACATTAATGTTTGAGAAATCATGACAGTACTTCAATAAAATACTCATATGGGTTAGATTGCTAATCCCACCGATGCATAGAAAAAGGTTTTCAGTAAGCTATCAAAGCATGTCAGACGTACCCATGGTTTCCCTTAAACAGAGAACCAGTTTTGTACATCTTCATGCTTGATTACACTACTATTTCTTAACTACAGCTATATTCCTGCATGATATTATTCTTTGATTGGCTACTGTCTTCAGGATATGCAGGAAGTTGTTCAACCAAACTCCATTACTCAATCAACAATGATGATGTGGCATTCATGTATCTTGCTTCTCATATATTTGGAAACTATTAAACAATTATGACAAAGTTTACATAACAAGCTTCTGCAAAGGTGGAGAAATAACCACTGTACAAATTTCCAAAGCCTTATCAGCAGATGCCTCAACTTCCAAATCAATCACAGATCAGATAACTCAAGAAGATGAAATCGTCTCGCTCAGCTCCTCCAGTAGATCTGGATTCTCGCCTCAGCACTGAATTGGTGGAACCATGGCCCAGAAGAATAAAAAAATTCACTAATAAATGAGCTCAGCATAGAAAGAGAGACATGTTATTTCACTATCTTCCTCCTAAACATATTATCAAGTGTCCCGTCTGCACGAGGTAAGAGGACCCAGTGTGATGTCTGTCTCCCTAAGCGCAGAGCAAGGTTTAAAATATCGGAGTCAAAATTCACATCAGATTACAGATATTGTGGAAATATTGGGATAGGTAGTAAACATCAGCGTGTCATATCGGCTAATGTACATATATAATATAATGTCCTAAAATGCAGTCTAGACATAATAAAATCTAAGCATCGGCGGACCTATATAGAACAAAGTCGGGTCAAGTGACCCAACTTCATTCTAGCTCCACAATCCCCATATCGTATAACAATACATACTAATTTTGTAAATCCACCCCAGTAAAAAAAACTCACCACTAAAAAACTAAATAACCCCAATAAAATCTTAGATCATCTCACTGATCGTGTATCCAGCAACGAAGAAAGTTGTATTTGACAAAGTTACTAATGATGCGAGAATGTACTTTTTCTTAAAACATGAAAACCCAACATGAGGGAAGTTGTAAATTTTATATAGTGACATCACTTTCTAAAATTCTAGATCTGGCAATGAATCTAAGCATGAAAAAATGTAAATGGTACATGTGTAGGATCACTAACGAATTGTAGAAGCTTACTTGGGGAAATAGCTTACTATAATTTTGCTTAAAAAATTTTATAGGGCTGGAATTCTTTGCTAACAAACATTAAAGAAATTTTGCGAAACTATATTTTTTGCAACAAACCATATAAAAGGAAATATCAACCAACATGCCGGCTAATATATCATCCATGTCAGAGATATATCGCCCAAAAATTGCCAAAAAGCTGTAAGCCTTCTAAAATGGGTTTTGGCCTTATAAACGGTCGATACATCAACTATATCTGGGATATTTAAAAACAATGGGGAAGAGAATCAGAGAGCACTGTAGCAAAAGGATCCTTGCTAGCATTTCTATTTACCTGACATTTTCTTTAATCCTATAATAGATGGGAAGTATGACATTTACACAGTCTCTAATTAGCATTCTAAAAGAAGTTTGAAACATTATCGACGCAAATATTGCGATGATGCTCCTTATCTTGATGGCACAAATAAACATAGTTATGCAGCTAGAGGAAAATTGTTTGTGAAGAAGATTTTCATTGTCTAAAATAAATAGAAACGACATAACATTTTGATGCACCGAAGATTTTTGGACAAATTGGCGAATAAATAGAGCAAGTACAGGGGAAAAAAGTGATGAGCCTTTGTTTTCTGTCATTGAAGTAGCTAGGATGGTGCAGGACAATCGTTAGCTGCTGATCAAGAATTTTATAGATTTACTAGTGCCATTGCTATTTTGGTAATATTTGATGTAATTTCCAATTTAGGTAAAGATCTCCTTAGGCTTAGATTTCAGATTGTTAGGATCTTTGAGATTTATTTTGTTAGAGATTTTATATTTGCTTTCTTTTTATTAGGATTTGGTTAAGATTTGATTTACTTTCTATAATTTATAAATTTGGTTAGAGATTTACTTCCTTTTTATTAGATTTGTAATCCTCCATGAGGAATTAGACATTGATTAATAAAAAATATACAGTTATGAGAATTCTCTCTTAAGCATGTGTGGTGTTCTTGGCATGTGATTTGCCTCTTTTGGGTTTGCGGTGCAAAGCACTTGGGTGTGAGGCCCCTAGGTGTGAAGCCTAACTAGTTATCCGATCTCTTCTCTTTACAAATTGCAACGCCCACCCCATCTTAATACATAACTTGCAATCAGCCCCTGTGATGCCTCTGGTTCTCTATCCTCTGGACTGTCGGTCCTTACTCAATTCTCTGTTGATCAGTCGACCAACCCGAACACTAAAACACAAACTTCCAGATTTCTACAGTTAATTGTTTTTCTCAAAAACTCGTGACTTATTAATATAAGGTGTGAACTACGTCTAAGATCTTGTATTAACTAAAGAGAGATCTCATCCAAACAAGTTTACATCAACAAAAACATGGTTTTGGGATCAAAAATTCCCTAAGCATAACTAATCAGATTTTATACTGTATAATTAGGGTTCCAAACCTAACTAATTCGTTCTTTAATAGATCATTAGAATTTTAGTCATCAAAACATATCTTTTCTTCATTTAGTGTTTGGAACTACAGATCTTATTCATTAAATTAGGGTTTAAACCATGAAAAACTAAAGGGATGAGTTTGGGAAGAGATGAACTTGCCTTCCAAAATCATTTTGATCTCCCAAACGCGCGAGGAACTCGACCCTCCTTCAAAAATTCTCCAGAAAATGAAGTTGAACAGCTAGGGTTTTGAGGGGGGTGACTGCTAAAACGTGAGAGATGAAGAAGAGAAACACAGATCCATCTGATTAGTTGACCGACCAGAACAGGGGTCGAAACTTACAGGTTTCTATATATATGCTCACATATACATGCATACAACCGTAAAACAATTCGTTTATCATCATATAATAATATATTTCAAATTTTTAGGGTTTTACAGCCCCCCCAAAAATCTCAATCCGACCAACAAATAGACCCAAAACCCCACAAAACAACCCCAATTCCACTACTCAAGATCATGTTCAGTCTGTGAACAGTAACAATTCTGTTCATACGCGAATAGTAATAATTACTATTTGTCATGGATTACACTATCATTCAGCCAAGCCGTCTACGATTTCTTGCCTCTACATCGAAGACCTCCGCTCGTTCCCCATAACAGGGGGAATGATCGTATAAGCAAACTTCGCAGACCAAAACAAATCAGAAGATTAAATTCAATATATCGTCAGCAAGGAATAATGGTGTTTATTGTATGTTTATTTTAGTACGGTTTATGCAAAAGAGAAATAAATCTGATACAGATCCAACCAAAACCAAAGTCACAGGAAAAGCAAACCAGTCCTACAGACTTTAATTCTGCACACTGCCAAAAATAAAATTGGTATCTGTCTTCCATACCTGTGCTGACTGCAGCAATAACTGGTGGGACATAATCTTTCAGTATTGGAGTACTAGAGAGAACTATTCGGCTCATAAAAGCTAATGCTATTAAATATGTACCTACAGTGAGAATTCGCCAAGTAATGTTACATCTCGAACATCAAATGCATATATCTCAAGATCCAAAATTTGTAAATTGTGAATAATGTAAAGAAGCACATACCAGTGAAATGTCCAATTGCTTGAATAATGTTTGTTCCAAATTTAAGCATTTTACTTAGATCAGTTGGAAACTGAGGTCCACTGTCCTGAACACGTCAAAAAGAGATAACCTAATCAAAGGTGATAAAGGAAAATAAGCATGCATACTATTTATCTAGAGAGTCACAGGAAACACAGAAACCAGTGAAACGTTGTTTCTCCTCTGCACGCCTTTTCCATTTACCAAAAAACTGCAAAACAAATTCTTTTCTGAGAAGATATATTTCCCGAGTATTTAGTATTTACAATGAAAAGAAAAGGTTACCTCGCTTGTGGTGGGCTTATAAGACAAGAAGATGTCTCCAAATTGTCGGCACATACTACAAGCAACGTCTGGAAGAAGGTAAAAGTTAGTCCTCACTCAAACTTCTGAAAAAAAACGTGCGTTAACATAACACTGCATAAGGTAGTCATGAAAGCAACATTAAGAAGCACAAATGCAAAATGTAAGCATCCATAATTGATACTTCTAAACGTACATGCTGAAATCTCGCATCATTCCTCATGGCTACAGTGTGCGTCAACTGACAGTGAGTTCAGGTATGTTAGATGGACAACAGGAAACTAATTCTTACTGATTTAACACCAGAACAATTATCAGGGTTGTTCTTAAACTATCGTACAAAGTTTTAACTTGCCAAGGTTATCAATAGCGGATAGCGTCGCGTAGCGGTGAGGCGTAGCTAAGGCTATTTACGGCTATTGCGACAAAATAGCGATAAAAATGTACAATCAAATAGCGGTCTAATTTAAATATGTACAAATATTAAAAAATTAAAGAAAAATCTAGAAAATCTAAAAATACATATTTGATGATTTAAAGAGATCCTAAATATGAAATAAACATGTAATCATCACATAATACTGAAGACAACTGGAGGAGTCAAAGAGTCGTCTTCTTCTAAAAGATGAGCTGAGTGGTGAGAGGACTGCACTAGGAGGAGCTCACGACGAGAGGTGAGAGGAAGTGCTGAGGCAGGTGCTAGAGGCTATGGTAGGTGGTGAAAGTATGCCGAAAATCGCGGAAGGGCAGTGGGATGCAGTGGTTGCGGGTTGGATTTAATTTTTTTAAAATAAACCTTAAATTGCTTTTAAATAGTCAAAAAGCATATTTTGCCCATAATATCCAGCTATTCACTATTATGGCGCGCTATTGGCTGTTTTTTGCGAGCGAAAGTGCATATTCCGCAATATGTCACCGCTATTAGGCGAAAGCGTAGCGGAAAGGGACCGTTAACGCTATTAGCGCCGCTATTGCTACTATTTATAACAGTGTAACTTGCTAACAAGAATCAAACTGGAGTATGATAATTTATAAATTGTATCCTTTATGATGGATAGCGTGAAACTACACCTTCTAGATATAAATCAATTGTCGATAAGTGGCCCTTTAGAAAGAATTAAACCACACATTTCTTGAGACATTTATGGTATATAATGATATTAATTGTAATGATGTTTCTTGAGATATGCACATCAATGTTATCCATGTTTCCAAAATCCTTATAAATTCATATGCAGCCAAAACGCTACCATTTTATAAGACTAAAAATCAAAATTGTACCAGATGAACCACTGCCTTTTTCATAAGCTCATTATCAATCTCGAAATCTTTAGTTTAATTGGTATTTTATGGATAAATCTTTTTGCTGCCATCCAACAGTGGTGGGGAAGAGACATGAAAATGCAGAATAGATGGATACTTAAACAATTCACAGAAAACTAAACATAGATGCAGAACAAAAACATCTATGTTCTACACAGAGGCGTGTCCTAATAAGCATTCAGTTTAGGCTGCATGGACAATGCATATGCACTGCATATATGGCCAACTATAACAGATAAAGGTAATAAAACGTAAAGAAAGAGACAAGAATATTAACACCCCTCTCCTGCCAGTGCCACTACCCCCTTCAATGCAGATGTTGCTTTTACAGGGATAGGAATAAAATAACAGTTCATTTACCCTTCTTATATATCTTTTCAAAAGAAATAAGCATAGGTAGAGCAGCAAGAGTGTCAAATCTTATCCACATGGAAGATCTGATAGTATTGCAATATTGTTAATTTTATAAATGTTTTCTTATTATTTGCATCCAACTTGTACAATATTTAAATGAGATGTCTCTTTCCTCTAGCTCAGGGATTAGAATCAGACAATTGTCAGTTTTATGGTAGAATCAAACACCATAGATGACAACCTATGTTAGCTGGGTACTTCTAATCTGAGGTCATATCCATACCCGACATGTACCCGTACCCGTATCCAAACTCCTTAGACACCCCTGACATACATGCATACATTTATTGCGGCATGTATCCAAAATACAATACAGGCTTTAATTCAAAACACTTGTCATACATTTTTTGGACATATCCTACACATCTACTTCTTGAAAGTCATTACGTACAGATCAGGCTCCGAATTATGATTTTGAAGGGTTGCTTAGATGTCTAGTTCAAAAACTAGTTATTTCCCGATTTATAATCCACATAATAAAAGAAACATAGAAATGTTATAAAAATTTATAATCCGCATAATAAAAGAAACATACAAATGTTATAGGAATAAATGAATTATTAATTCCTATATATAATATATTATATAGCGTGCCCTGTACCCTACCATTTACAAATTTGTCATGTCTTGTACCCATACCCATACAACATAGGTGATAACAATTGAATAAGCAGAATTTTTTTGTTAGTGTTCTCTTCCCTCCCCTTTTCATGACTTTCTAGGGCCTTTTGCTTCCACAAGTAGCACCCTTTGTGCTGGCAACTTAATTTTAGAACACCGGAAAATCTACATATAGACAAATTCCTCGTTTATAAAAATAACATATAAAATTGAAATTATGAAGCCGCCAGAAAATTGTAGAAGCAACACCCGAGCAAATACAAGTAGGATAAAGACAGTTACATATAAATGACAGGCATGACATCAAGTCAAACAGTACAAGATAAAACTGATAAAAATTTTAAAACTATATATAAGTATCAAACTATCAATTTCTAATGATTCCTACTTTGTGGCATAGAGCAAATGTTCAAAGGCGTAGTAAAGATTCTATTGGAGATGGAACAGCTCAAAGAGATGCTTACTATCTTCTGTTCTGAAGGTAAATTCCTTGCAATCTGGAAATCAGACATCAGAATCTCATAGCCAGGCTACAAAAATAATAATAAACAAAACTGGGTATCAATGTTTGAGCTACTTTAACCAGATATTTAATTAAATAATTAGAAATTAAAATAATTAAATACAAAACATTATCAGTTAACACAACGTGTTTAAGTATCTAAAGTTACTGTTGATAAGACCAATAACATAATGTTATATGGTTGGTTAGAGATGGACTCACAACGAGATCTGTTGAAGAACTATATGCCACATTAAATAATAGCAATATGTAGGATACGAAGGCACATGTAAGTGTATTTGTGCACATTGTTAATATCCATCTTTAGAGACATAACAACTAATGAAGTACTAATAAGGACAGGTAAAAAGAGAAGTTACTATAAACCATGAAGGAAAAAGAACAAAAAGTATCAAAATACAGCACAAGCTTGCAGACATTACTAGTACTCTGTCAAAATAGATTTAGGTGGACAATTTAAGCTGCAACAACCAATAACACAGAATCTCTCTTCAGTTCCAATATTGTTAAGAATTCATACCCTACAACTAATGCCTATCTTTTTAATAGGAGAATGTAGCTAACTAATATGTTCCTTCCTTTTTAATACAATAATGTGTTGTTTTTTTTCATTTTTTTAAGCCTCCTTTGCCTAAAACAAACTTGGCAAAAGCTGCCGTTACGAGATGTTTCAATACTATATCTTGTACAGCTCCTGATTTTGTCTGCGATAAAGAGTTGGCTATGATTCAATGGTTTTTTTTAAGAGAGTAGTTGCTCAATGATTGGCAAGCATTACAGAATGCGCAACAGATCTCCAGATTTCCAGCTTTTCTAGGTCCAAGATTTAAAATGGTGGCCATTTAAATAAAATCTCCCTTCTTTGCTAGAAATCAAATATTGGAAAGTTGGTGGCATTTAAATATTTACTTCAAAGAGGTGTCTGGTATTAATGATGTCAATCAGACAAGTCAACTTGACCTCCCACGAAATCCATGTGAATAAGCAACGAAAACTCCTTGGGAAGTGAAAGAAAGAAATGAGAATTTCGTGAGTGTGGCTCATGCGTGATGGTTATCCACGTGAAAAAAATTGGATCTAGATACCTAGATGAAAAATAAAATGTTTTGAGTGGTATGAGAATTTGATGAAAGAATTACACATCTTTACCTCGGTAGAAATTAAATATTGCAAAGGTGGAATAGAAAAGAGCATTACGTGTATGGACTATGGCATCAGAATCACATCTCAGCTCCAAATTATAAAGTGATTCCTATGTAAATCTGAGTTGTAATTTAAGGATAAGGACCTGGATATTTAAGTGAAGGAAATTGGGTGCAAAGAGGACTGAAGGAAATTGATTGTAAAGATGACCGAAGGAAATTGGCTTTAAAGAGGATTATACGTGTTGTTCATATCTGAAAAGAAGAGAAAAAACCACAGAGCACGTGTTTATGTCCTTTGTTCAGAAAGAAGAAAGAAAAGAGCAGGGTTATGAAAGGTCCTAGGTTCAAGATCGGGCTTATGGCCTTTGTTAAAAAAAGAAGAAACAAAGAGAAGAAAGATACTTTGCTTTCTGAAAATGTTACAAATGATTTGTGTCTGGTAAAACAATTAGTGAATTTGCATTTTGGTAAATGCCAGCAAAGTGATCACCAGAGGATGATAATAAGCATTGGATGTAGGAATAGTTTTCTATTTCCATTAGCTGTTCCTTCTACCAGAAATAATTTTCTCTTCAAAATGATTTTTCAGATATTGCTAGAGTGTAAAAAAACAGTGGCAAATTATAGCACTAGCATGATAGCATCCATTAGTAAGGTACTAGAGAAAAGAATTCAAAAACATGTATGCTGACCATATAACAAAATAACCACATCTATACACTGTTTTACTAACAAAACACTAGGCAATAAATGCTTCAGATTGAACTGGATTTGTAATACATCAAATCTTAAAACCAACTAGTGTCTGTAAACTTGACGAGTTAAGTGAACAGACACATTACGTGAACAGTTACTAGTTAAGAAATCTCACCATACCTTTGCTTCCAAAGAAAAAATCAAGCTGCCCATTTTGTATTGAGGATAAAACCTGCAGGAAAAAAGAATAATTTACTGGTTTTCCCACAAAAATATTCTAAAATCAAATGTATATCTGCATATATCAACTGTTTCCAGACAATTATATTTGAATCTAAAATAACAAGCTATCAACTCAAAAGATGCCTTCCAAATTATGTACAAAGAATAGACGAATCCAAGATATTAAGCAACCAATTATATGTCCTGTAGGCCTGTCTGAGGTATATAAACTCTCAAGTCACTCTAGGAAATATTGAGTATTATAATTAAAAATAGTAATATTGAGTATCAAATTAACATAAAGATTCATGTTATCCTCGACTTAAATTCAACAGATGGCAATTTTTACTGGAACAGAAGACCTGGTGTCACTGATCTAAAATTACAGGTTGAGTTAAGCAGATTCCAAACACACTAATGTTGGTCCTGGTCTAGGCCTTTACCCAATTATATTTTGAAGCATCCAAGCTATTATTCCTAAACAGTCAGATCCCATTTGACTTATTTGAAAAAGGGCTGCCTCACCCAGCTTTGGTTTATCAATAAGATTTGAGGGAGGCACGTGACCTATCTAAAAAGCAGGTCGAATTCAGATCAAACCAACAAAGGTAGGTATCATGCTCTGACCAGATCTGAACTCAATACAACCCATTCCCTCTCTTAAGCAAGCACAAGTTTCATAGAACAGTTCACATATAATCCAAATACAACTGGAGTTCAGAATAATAATTTTTATTATTCTCAGTTTCAAACATTGATCAATTGACTAGATCTTTTCTAAGTTGAGAATTTCATAGTGGTCATTTAATTAACTACACCTAAATATTATACAATTTAACAAAAATGACTAAGTAAAATGTTAGTAAAATTGTAACTCTGTTGAAGCACAACAGGAATGGATGTGCTTGTACATATATATTTAGAGATGCAAAATGATTATATTCTCTGTCGTCACTGCCAGTGGCAGAGTCAGGAATTCAAAATAGTGGTATCAGAATATATATAACAAGATGATATTACAAAGTTTGTCTCATATTCATTATATAGTTAGGAACTTTAATAAGATGCTAAAGATATATTTAACTTTAATGGGATATTTTCTAAGACAAAAGTACAGTTACAATTCACCCCTATGTGCTATGTTACCCGGGTACTTCTATAATGAAGCTGTACCCGTACCGGACACGTACCCGACATTTTTCCGTACCCAAACTTCATGGACACTTCTTGAATATATGCATGCATTTATTACAACATGTACTCAATTATACGATATATGTGTTAATTTAAAACACTTGTCAAAGACTTCCTAGACTTAAGCTTACACTTCACGTCCGTCTTTTGAAACTAATGAGATACGGGTCGGATTCGTTTTAGTCCATACCCAAGTTAAAACTATATAGTTAATGGGTCATTTAGATGTCTAGTAAAAAAATGAGTAGTTTACAATTCACGATAATCAATATGATAAAAAAAAACTCAAAAATGTGATCGGAATTTTAATTCTAATGACACATGAAGGGGAAAATTTATCTTATGTACAGTATTAATTCAATATATATATGTAGTTGTGTCCCCGTACCCTACATTTTACAGTTTTGCCATGTCCCGCACCCGTACCCGTACCAGTATTCATGCCCGTTTCCATGCAACTTAGCCTATGTGTCTTCATGTTCTGAAATCGTTGCGTTATAGCCTCACTCAAAATACCACTAAATACATAATGTTCAATATAAGTTATTAAGTTGTCGTTCATCCATGATCTCTCATTCGATTTCACAGATGACTCTTTAAAATTTTCATAGCAGAAAACGATCTCTCTGTAGCTTCATAAACACCGGCAAATGGGTAGGATCCATGCCTACTTAGTTGATACTTTTCATTTTTAAAATAATGTTAATTATTCAATATATGGGTTCTCGGGATTGGACCATCTAAGGCTTGGCCCGTTCGGAATAGCACTTAAATGATGGATCACTACTCACTACTTGTTTTTATTGTGGTGTCATTAATGAGTGATACCCTTGTTCATACTTAGTATATTTTCTTGCTAGAGGGTGGTATCACTTGACACCATAGGGTGCCCTTGCCCCTGCTCACTGTCTCCTAATACAGCATATTTTTTTGCTAGAGCGTGGTGTCACTTGATACCATAGGGTGCCCTTGCCCCTAATCACTGTCTCCTAATACAAGCAATGTGCATGCATTCACATGCCTATATATGTACATATGCCCGTGTGTGTGGACATGCATGAGTATTTATACATGTGTACGCAAGTGTTTGTGAATGTGTGTATGTGTGTACAACTAGCCTGATAATCCTGAAGGACCTTTCTGCATCAAAAGAAGTACCAAGACAATCCAATTACCAATAAGAAATGAAACAAGCTATCAAATTGTTGAGAATTTGTCAACAGTACAGAGAGAACTACTGGATGAGACAAGTCCCATATGAAATACCTTTGAAACAAGTACAAGTTCAGGGAAATAGCCATTGGATGAAGTGAAACGAGTCAGTGTCAGAGGTGTCAGGCAGGCCAGGTCAAATCCCAAATTAGATGAATCAAATTCTATTCCAATTAGTGCTGTGGGTTATGAAGACAATATGATTTTAGGAAAATATCGTGTGACCTATGAGAGGTCAGGTGCACTCCATTTACTTGGTCTTTGGTGATGTACGAGCATTCACATATTGTTGGGCCATCATCAGTGACCTTAGTCATAAAAATGAGATAGGTTCCATCTTCCATGAAGTGTGATACGGGACTCCTCATTGTAACCTGTGAAATGATACAATCGGGATGATTCTACTTTGTTTTTCTTGTATGTATTCAAAACATTTTGAATATAACTTGCTCAACAGCAACATCTAGCTGAGATCTTTGAATTATGCTCCATTATATTGTTTTAGCATCATATACAACACCCCTTTGCCGGCCCCTTCTTGTCACGTATGGTCTTGTCAACCTCTTCTCCTATTATTGGCCGCCTCTTCTAGTTCACAGTCTTGTTGGTCTTCTCTTCACACATGCAATCTCACCAACCTCTTATTGCACACTGTCCCCTTGACTCGTCGTCTCATGTGCAGTGCCTTGTCAGCATTTTCTTCCTGTGCACTGCCAGCTTCCATTTCCAAAATCTCATTGCTCTACCGAGCAACTTCTGGATATTCTCACGAAGGTATTACCTATGACCTTCGACAATATCTATGCTCCAAGTGGGTTTTGTTTTCTTGTGTGTGTGTGTGTGGTGGGGGTTGGGTTTTTTTTTGTTTTTGGGTGGGGGGGGGGGGGGGGGGGGNTATTTCAAAGTATTGAAAGAATTAGAAGATTCAATCATGTGTTGTTGATTTGTTATCTTATTTGTATGGCTTAGATTAAACAGCATATTATCAGGTATTTATTTAGCCATAGTATGTGTCTGGTTCATATCAAGGAGCACATTAAAAATACTGTTACCTTAATTTCTTATTACTATGATTAAAGGGTTTCCAGATTCATTGTATCTAATGTCTTATTCAAATATAACTAAGCCTCTTGAACTTCTTTCCAGTCAATCAATAGAAACCTATTCCTCTTTCTGATTTCAACGCAAATAAAGAAATAATACGATCTAGAAATTTGAAAGGTTGAGGAACACCCAAATGAAAGTAATAAGTTACAAATATCAAAGACATACTAATCGCTCATGGAAATATAAGTAGACCTAATAAAAACAAGGACAAAATTCATACCTAGAAACAACAACCGATATAACATCCAGAGAATTGCTTGCACCAGGATTGAAATTCAATGCCATACAAAAGCTGCTGGAAAGCTATACGCAAATGTTCTTTACTTAGAAGATTGTAATCAGAAAGAAGTGTATTAAGTAACAGAGAAGTTTGATTTAGTGTCTCCAAAACCTCATTTGCCATTGCAAGAAGCTCATCAGTAACTGCAGAGGTAAACCATCCATTTCTGCAAGCATTCTACAGGAAGCAAAACGACCATAGAAAACAGATTTAGAGAAGACTGTTAATAGTTAATAAGCAAGAATAAACCACTTCGGCTGGATTTACAGAACGACTAAAAATTAAAGTTCTTATTGAAAAATAACTCGCACTAAAGAGAATGTAATGGTGATTTTCTTAAAAATGCATTCCATTCGCTAACTAAATATATACAAAAATACACAGAGGATCACACGGCCTTCAACTGCCTAAGCATAAAAAAGATACACATAGAACCCATAAATAAAGCATCAAGTCTTCTAACATAAGCCCTCTTGATCATGATTACCATGAATAGTTATTTTTAGAGCTCATACTCAATATCTAGAGTGTATCAAGCAATGCACGATTGTTTTGACTAAACAGTTCTCTAATTACTATTAGTAAAATTAACATCCTTTCAACAGTTTATGTTTGCGTGCACACAGACACGCACACTGAGAGACTCAATACCCACAGTATATTAAGCAATGCTTGTTCGTTTTAACTAAACAGTTATTTGATCACTGATAGTAAAATTAACAGCCATTCAACAGCTTATGTGTTATTATATATTTATTATATATTTGCACCACACACGCAGAGAGAGAGAGAGAGAGAGAGAGAGAGAGACTCAATACCTACAGTATTAAGCAATGCATGTTTGTTTTGACTAGACAGTTCTCTGATTACTAGTAGTAAAATTAACACCCGTTCAACAGTTCATGCATTTTTACAGTACACGCTCGCGCACTCGCACTGAGAGAAGATGGCATAATTCTTATTTAATTTTGGCCATAGATTTAACAAGACCTTTTTACTATTTACATGCATGCAAATTGATAGAGCTTGATAGGCTGGTTTTGTTTGTGATGCACTCAAAAGAATTTGTTACAAGTTGCAAACTATGCATTGCATCATTCAAAAATGTTTAAAGCAATCTTAAGAGCTACATAATTATACATATTGCTAGAAGCCTATTCACACAACCTTTCCCACCTCCAACTGCCTGTCTGACATGCGTGAATCATCTGAAGTATTTTAATTTGATTTTCAACTATTTTCCATCTCAATTTCACTTACACATGACATGATTTCAGCATCCAGAAAGTAATTGATTAAAAAGCGTGCAACTTGAAGTTTGTAAAAGGACCCAAAGTTAATAGTCATAACCTTTGGGCATCTTCAAGACTTCTGAATCCTCTATTAAAACAACAGAATAAATCAAATAGGGCAGTGTAAGGAATCTCACCTTGACAGAAATCATTAGCATTAAAATAGCTGGTTGAAGAGACTTCTCATGTTTCCGCTCGTATGCCTTCGTATTAAGGCACAAATTGACAAGACATAATTAGTAAATAAAAGGGAAAAGTAGTGGAAAATAAAAAGAAACAACGGCAAAAATAGATCTAAGGTGACACGATGGAACCCACTAATGTCAAAAGCAATCAAGATGAAACAAGAAAAATAAAAATTGTCATACATTGTCTTAGATTATGTTAATGTAACAAAGACTGAAAGCAAAAATATTTAGCAGACAGAAGAAACGAGACTAGCAAAAACCTAGACATCTATTTTTCAGTTTGTACAATTTTGCTTTAGTGCCGTCCCTCCCCTTGACTCCACCCCAGCTACCTACCTAGCTATATCCATAACTCCACTGTGCATGTGTGTGTATGTATGCATATACGTCACTAATATAAGATCAAAGGTTCAAATTTTTAATAAAGATGGTGTATTTTATTCTCCTCGACTGATATTTGATATATGGAGTTTCAACCATTTCAAAAACTCCAGACAGAAATTATAAGTGCATAAAATTAATTGGGATGGAACTACAAGTTTTCTGTTTATTATTTCTTTTTTTCATGTTTCTTCTAAGATAACACTATTACACCCACTTCTGTACTTTCAAGTCTCAGTTTTTTCCACAAATATTTGTGGTTATTTTATCCCGTATCAACTGTTACTGATCATTACTAATCGATATTTGCAGTATTGACCAATTTTGACTAGATCATATCTCCGAAACAATACGGTTGATAGATACTGCATCAGTTGATATTTCAAAATTTTGAAACTTGTTATGGTACCAGCCCATAAGTATATGTGTATATGTAAATGCATGCATAACCCTCCTTCCCTTCGCCATCCCTTTTGGTGTATACATGCATACATACATCTGCAACTATTTTTTTTTACCATATTACACTATTCATTGCTTTTAAAAGGGGTATATACTAGAATCAATTTCTATCTGTGTGTACACATCCATATATATGTATTTTCTTATAACCAGCTCATACCAATCTTTTTGAAAAGTTGACACATCCCCCAAGTTCATTCCAGATTATGAAAGTCCTGACGTTCTTTTTTGGTGAAATTGACGTATTTATATGTTGCTTGTACTTACGTTCACAATTACTAGTATGTATCTATACAATGTCCATCTCTCTCATTACACAAAATTTGTCATCATATCAAAGATGACTGATCTATCAAAACATTTATCACATCACCAAATTCTTATTATAGCCTACCCATATATGTGCTTTACTATACATGACCCAATAATGTATCATAAAATTATAGGAAAAATTCAACAAACATGCTACAAATTATGGCGTGTCTTAAGGTCCAAATGTTAGAAAATCAAGAAGCAACAGTGATAGGATCAGATTAGTTTAATAAGTTTTGAATTTCAAATCAATTAATAAGTTTTGAATATCAAATCAATTGTTTGATTTCTGAATTCTAGTAGAATATAAGTATCTTGGATTTCAAATTATAATAGGATTGGATGTTAATTTGATTTTGAATGTTAGTTTGATTTTCAATGTTGGATTAGAGATAGTAATACAGCTCTATTTAAGGAGTTGCGAACTGCATTAGATCAACGAGAATATTTTATGAATTAAAAGTTTAGTTGAGAAAAATTGGAATGCTTCCTCAGATTAGATGCACTTGTGTGAAGGCGATTTTTTCTTTAAATTTTAAAGTTACTTTGGTCACATCAATCTCAGTCACTTATCTCCTTCAATTTCAAAGTGAATAACTCCTCAAAGATAATCTCAGTCAGAAATGCAATCTTAGATTGCTTGTGCCATCCCCTAAAGCTATTATTCCTCTTCTTTGTGTTTCATTCCAATGGCAAGAACCTGCTTCTCCAACACCAACTCCAATCTACACACTCGTTGCTCTCATTTGATCACTCCACTACAAGACCACTGACTTAGACTTTCAATTCATCCTCTTCTTGACCATCTTCGCCCTCATATATCATCTCCCATCACACAACATCATCAACAATAACATCTCTCCAATCATCTCACGTCCTTGTCCAGAACTTTAGTCACCGACCCAATCACAACTAATCCTCTTTCACCCCCGATCTCCATTCAGATCTTAAGGATCCTAACCTCCATCCGAGCATCCCATGACCCCTCTTTAACGTCTCGGATCAACAACCTTCGACATCGGCCGTCACCAAAACCCATCGGATCCTATTGCCACCCTCATCTTCTGCTGACATCCGTTCAGCCGTCTGACATCAGAGCCTAATATTTGCATGACTTCACTAAACTCCTTCCCTGCCTATTGTCTTATAGAGAGGCTAATCATCATTAATCCAACTATTAGTGTGTTGGTAAGCAGTGTTATCAAGGCGGAATGTGGGGTGCAAAGTCCTCTTACGTGCACCATGCACAAGGCGCAAGGCGTTGTGCGTACTTTAGTGAAGCGAGGTGCATAGCGCTAGAAAAAATTGTGTAGATGTACATGTCAATTTAAACAAGCAATATGTTTATTAATTTTGATATGAAAAAGATATCAAGATAAATAAGGTCACCAAACAAATTAGAAAAAGCGGTCCTAATTCATAATCTTAACACCTGTTAAAAGAAAGTTAATGTCAATTTAAAGCTATCCTACTGTATTTTCAGTAATTTCAACACAATGAAAAAATATAGAACTTTTACTATAAGATCAAACATCCAAATTACAAACATTCAAACAAGCAGACCATTTAGCATAACATATCTAGGTCTCAATTTAACAATGCTTTAGTTAAAAAACAAAAACATGGCATCAAATTCAATATTATTAATAATTATCGATATCGCAATATCTAAAATAGTAGTTTTTGATTTCACAATCAATGTTCTAGGTAAAGTACTAACAATGACAGCAAAATTAGGAAAAACTTAGAAATAAGATGAGGGAGTATACAAGAATTTAGGGAAATAGGAAAACAAGAATTAGAAAATAATGACAAAAGACTGAAAAATAAGATGAGGGAGTAGACAAGAATTTAGGGAAATAGGAGAACAAGAATTAGAAAATAATGACACAAGACTGGAAGAGTATGCGACAGAAGATGCAACACCAATAGTAGGAAAACAATGAGGTACACCTAGGCGCATCAAGGCGCAAGGCGCAAGGAGACCGACTGAGACGTGTGTCGTGTGCCTCGCTTATGCAATGAGACCCACACCTCATGGTTGGCGCACTTTCAGCGCCCGACATCAGAGGTGATCATCTCGGAGTGCCTGAGAGACACTGTTGATGAGCATTCTAAATTTTTAAAGTCTTCGTAGGGTCTTAATTCAATTGAATTCAATTCAAACGTCTACTACTCTTTAGATTTTGTGTAGTGGGTCTAACTTCTCTACATACTTCATGTCTAATTTGAACTTACACTTTATCTTCATAGTTACTATTGAACATTTAGTTTGCTAGTTTTAGGTCTATAAATCCACAATTTATAGTTAATTTCCACTTTTCTTTCATGTTAATGCATTTGCTTAGTTGCTTGAGTATTGTTTAAGTTAAATCTTTAGAAACCTATGGATTCTTACTACATCAAACAACTAAAAGGTGGGATAACTGAAATAAGGATTGTTACAACGTTCAAGCAATAACATAAAAAATTAAGGTAAATTACATAAGAACAAAAATTGTATAGAAACTACTGGAAAAATTCCATAAGAGGCACCTTGTAGTTCAAAATATTGGAAATAAAGAAGCAACAACAAAAGTGAGTACAGCTAAACTGAGCATAGTGAAAACAATCAACAATACAACAAAAGAAGAGAACATATAAGTATAATAGAAATGAAGAAATTCAAGGAGTATAAAATCAGCATGCATTACGACTCAAAATATTGGCCGAATCACGAAAAAACAGCTAAAAAGATGGTGATAATCGAAATCGGAATGTCATGATATCCAAGCAATAAAAAATAGATGAGAAACGAATGTATTCTAAGAGCAACAACAACATCAATGTGCAATAGGGGGATTCTTTAATAGAGTTTGCACATGCACAATGAAGACTGATGAGCAATTTAATTAAGAATAATAGGAAGTGGTTAAAGTTAGCTACTACGAGTATCAGAAAGATCAAGGTATGGTATTTTATCTAAAGAGATACCCTTAATAGAAGTAAACAGGCGAAATGGCCTCAGAATTTGTATAAACTTAGTCAAAATTTTCACGAAAGAAAAGTACATTGAATTGCTGTTAATAAACATCATCTAATATATATAATGAAGTATAATCTTAATCCATATGGCATATTAAATAATCGTTGCACTAAATCAATAAGATAACTATGGTAAATACTTCACATTGTTATAATATTTTCTTGTGAACGGTGGCCAATATCAAGAAAGTGCCTCCAAATCTAAAGTTAATCATACTTAGAAAACTTCATGTAAGGCAGAGTTTGGTTTTTGGGTATGATGATGGAAATTTAAGAGTTAATTCACTTTTACTGGCTAATACCAGGTAACTCAAAATCTAGAGGTTAATCTCACTTAGGAAAATTTATATAAACCAGAGTTTGGCTTTTCTCAGTGATAGCGAAAAATTAATAAATAAGTCACATTTATTAGACATATATCATGTGACTCCAAATATAGGGTTAACCATGTAGTGGTGACATTACGTAAGGCAGATTTTGGTTTTTTTTTTTTTGTGATGATAAGAAGATTAACAAATAAGTCACCCTTATTGTCACTCTAAAGTACTTGCACTTACATGGCTAGCTTTGTGATCTTATGCATAAAGTGTGTTTCTATACACAGACATACAGATATAAATCACTTTCCTCTTAAGAAAGAATTCTTATTTTTTTTCAATCATGTGATCTAGTCACCCTATTGCACAAAAAGTGGGATGACATTTACTATTTCTAGGGGACATAATCTTCTTATTTATATTTTGACCATCAGATTAGAAACTTAATGGCTATAAACGTAGGGGAGTCTCCCTCTTAGGATTAAAGATTAGCTCATATATATAATGCATATATGCATGTATATAATTAGATATTATTATATATCACTAGGTATTAGCAGATTTATTAGATAATATTAGAAATGAGTGTATTTCATAGTTATTTTGTAATATTTTCCTAATCTCTATTTTAGAGAAATTTGGGCTAGATGGAATAGCAACCTTGTCTTCTCCCTTTCTCCGCATGTTAATATTATTATTATTAGATATGATCAGGTATTAGTGGATATTATTAGATGTTATGAGATATTATCAGATATGATTATATCGCATGCCTATATTGTAAGATCATCCTAATCTTTACTTAAGAGAGGTTAGAGTTAGATGGAATAATAGCATTATTTTCTCTCAACATGGTATCAAAACATACATCTTGATCTTAGAGGCCTTATCTCCTTTTCCTAGACCTTAGGCTAACAAGGAGGCTTGCATGACCTTTCAGGTTTTCATCATCGGCTTCGATAACATCATGTGCTTCTACATGGCTTTTACAAGTTAGACAAGAGGGTCTCTTCTGATTGACATGTCTACATTTTCTTCTGGTTGACCTATCTAGAGCTTCTTGACTCACCAAGAATTTCTTCTGGCTAACCCATCTCACATTTGCATAATTCTTCAATTATTAAACATGCTCTTGCGCTAAAACTAAATGCTGGAAAAAAATTCTAAAATGTGTATTGACTCATTAATATACTTATCAAGATTAAGATGGCAGTTATATGTGCCTTATTATTTATTATTTTAGGACATCTAACAATAGTAATACATAAGGTTTGGTGCTAGACAGAGCTCAAGCAGGGATCTAACTCTCACGGCAAACTAACACGCCGAACTATTTCAGCTGATTTTAACTACTCTTAGCACAATATGAATGATAAGAAAGAATGTCTGAAAATAAAATTCAACTATACACAATTGTTTTGCACTTCGACAAATTGTCAAAACTTAACATAGAAAAAGGAAAAAAGTTAACATATTGGCAGATTAATTATAGCAACTGTAACAATCACTACCTTTTTAATTAATGAAGGCAAACGATTAGCGACTGTTGGAGCATCATTTAGTGTAAGTGCATAGTCAACCCCTCTGCACATGACGAGAATATGTTAAAACCACAATATGATGTACTAGCCAAACTCATTCAGAAAGCTCAATGAAACAAAAAAATGTGAAACAAAGATATTGCATGTAGTTGACAGACATATATGCATGTAGACAAAGATACAATCAAATAAAATAGATAAATTTAGATATAAACATGAAATTTTCAATTATTATCCTTTCAATTGCACAGACAAGGTTAAGCATTAATAAAATAGTAATATACACCATCAACTGACTGGACATGTGAGGATACACCCAAGGTTATCGATAGCGGATAGCGTCGCGTAGCGGTGAGGCATCGCTAAGGCTATTTCGGGCTATTGTGGCAAAATAGCGGTAAAAAACACAAAGTCAAATAGCGGTCTAATTTAGATATGTATAAATACTAAAAAAAATTAAAGAAAAATCTAAGAAATCTAAAAGTACATATTGGATAATTTAAAGAGATAATAAACATGAAATAGACATGTAACCATCACGTAATATCGAAGATGACTGGAGAGGTCAAAAAATCGTCGTCTTCGAGAAGAAGAGCTTAGCAGTGACAGGACTACCCTAAGAGGAGCTCACGGTGAAGGTGAGAGGAAGTATCAAGGTAGGTGCCAGAGGCTATGAGAGGTGACGGGAGTATGCTGAAAATTATAGGAGACGATGGAATGCAATGGTCAAGGGTTGAGTTTAATTTTTAAAAAAAATAAGCCTCAAACAGCTTTTAAATAGCAGTCAAAAAGTAAATTTCGAATGCAATCGCTCACTATTTACCGTTAGGACATACTATTGGCCGCATTTGCGAACATACATATTCCGCAATATGCCACCGCTATTGCGCGATAGCGTCGCAGGAAGGGACCGCTAACGCTATTAGCGCCGCTATTACGGGGCTATTTACCGCTATTTGTAACAGTGGATACACCTTTAACAAAAGCAAACTTCCATATACGTCATTAGCATTACTAACCATTAAAATACGATATGATAGCTAACGGGGCACTAAATCAAAAGGTAGAAACTTCTAGAAAAGAATTAGCCAAGGTTTATGACTAATAGTAAGATGATGTCAAGCTCTGACCTTAAAACCTCAACTACAAATGGCAAATCGGCAGATTAGTATTTATGGTTATGTGGTTTCTATTCTTAAAACCAAGGAATAAACATATAGATTCTCTTGGACTGTTTTGAAGCTTAAATGATACGAAATAGTAGTTTGCAGGAAGGATTAGCGTTCATTAGCATAAGCTAAAATACTAGATGGATACATAAGAAACAAAAACTTATAAAGCATCAATCCTCTAGTTTGATAGCGAATATAAAGAATGCGAAGACCTAAAAATGGAGACTACCATGACAAATTAACAAGTTAACGGAGACCTAGTTTTCCATGAAAATGAGAGGCTAGATTAAAAAGAAGGAATATTTCAACGGGAGTTAGCCTTAAGGCAAAGAAAAAATATATATAATAAATAAAATGACATTGCTAAGCTTGACTAAAGGATTATGCGCAACAATGCCCGAGTTCAAATATGATGCAAAATCTAGTTTTTGGGAGGATCCGGGATCGCACTAAAGTCTAGGGGGAAAACCTTATTTTTCCAACTCAAACAAGATTAAATAGCTCATTAACTCAAGATCTTCATCACTTCATTATGATTCCTTAACATCAAATATGCTGATGAGACAGTATGAGTTTGTGGATATGACTTAATCAAGTGTTTAAGGATCAAAGAATAAATTATGTAGCACAGATACAACTCCATCAAATAGAAAATATGTAAATGAGAAGAAATATGAGAACTAAAAAGGCTGTATAGTTGCTATACTAGGGTGAAACTTCAACCATTAAGCCATACTGTGTCTCAGATGTATTCCATGAAATTGTTTAACACTCTTTGGATCCTTGCAATTCAGAAGGCTTTTTGTTTCTTTGCATGTAAAGATACTATTCAGTATATCTAGCATATCTTCAAGTATAAAACATGAGATGCTTTAAGTATATTATTGAAAGATTAACTCAAAGGCATTATTTTTCTTATATATTATTCAAATGTACGAAGTGTTGATATCTAACATATGTGGATCTTCTTAGGATCTTTATAATTAAAAAAACCAATACTTGCTAACATCTATAGATTATTAAAAAAAATTCATACTTTGTTTTCCTACTTTTTTCGTTGTTTCCTTGTTATGTTGCTTCATAAAATACTAGTATTCTAACTTTTGCTACAATCTTTTTTTTTACTGATATCCACATACTAGGTTTTCAATTCCATGTCCATCTAGTAATGTGTATGGACCAACCACTCAACATATCCTCTCCCTCAAAAGATGCAATATAGTTTTTATCCAAAATAAAATTCTTATGAGCTATGGGCGTACTTTGTATGTATAGAGACTCAAGCTTAAGACTACAGAACCAGAATTCATTCTAAAAGAGGAAACTATTTGTTATATCTTGTAGAAAAAGCAATATTAGTACATTACTCAATAAAGAAGATAAACTAACCCAACAGTTTGTCTTTTATGTTATAAATGTATAGATTACCAAGTCTAAGAGTTGACAAACTATTAACATCAATTTCATAGTTTGTGAAATTTAAAGTTTCAGCCATTTCCACCCAAAAAACATCTAAATTACCTCTCTATAATGTAAAGGGTAAATTCAAGTTGAATATATAAGTCATCACACATATTTTTAAGTTCCAACTTGACAAGATGAAATGCAAATCAACTAGTGGTCCATTTCCCGCTTTTCCTAAACCAATTATCAACTATTTTAAAGATGAGACTACTCATTATTTGGGTCTTATCCCATTATTTTGGGACAAGCAAACTTCATTAGTCTATGCAAAGAAATAATAGATATTATGTTTTTCACACTCTGTCCTGATCTCAATCCAAGTGACCTACAATCTCCTCTAATACCTTGATCTAACATTATCTGCACAAGCCTACTTATTAACAAGACATCATCATATAAATTATTCTATGTTATTGTTAAAGTAGCTGTCGTATTTCTATTCTTTGATTGAATATGCATGTGATATATGATAAAGTAAAAGATCACGGCGCAAACAATTAAAGGAGAGAAACTATTGTCATAGGTCGACAGGAATCGGTTTTAAACTCAAAATGTTCACCTCTCAAAAGGCTTCTCCACTCAAATACTCCATTGATCTACTTCAACGACTTCATTCCAAATCAAACTCCATCGAAGACTCTGCTATAGTTACCATCATCGGTGACTGCTGGTGATGCACTCAGAACTCCATCGGCGATGATCCGCTCCGAACACCTCTTTACTAGTCACCTCCTGATAGAATCGATCTCATTTGTTGTCTCTTCCCAATCACACCTTGTCAACTCCATAACCCTATATGTACATCTCGTCGCCGTCGCGTTACCATAAACCTCATCACTAATTATCGTTGGCCAATATTAAGTATCAACCGAATCTCATTTAGATCCAATCGTTCACATCATCAGAATTTTCATTCTTGGTAAATCAACAAATCAACAATCTTTTTGTTGGTTTCACCAACTTTGACAGGCAAATGTCATCAAAAATCTCAGCCTCCTCATGGAGCTCCTGCCCAAGTTGTCTTTCTACAGACATCCTCTTTTCTAACACTGTCGAAGATCATCTCTAGCGTCATTCCATTCATTGACGACTCTGCTTTATTCGTTGATTTCTCAAAGATGCTCTTTGGACCTCTTGTGCTAGTACCTCAACAACAATAAGAAGCTGTCATTTTCATTGTTCCTTAGCTGACAACCTCAATTTTGATCATCTTTCCCTTAGATCTACAACAAAAATCATCTTTCTCCCACGATGACTCTGTCGCCAATCATCTATTTATCACAAGAGACTACTAAATCCCTTAATGATTTGCAAATCTCTTTATGCTGAGATCTCTTGGTCTTCTGCTACTTGTGACACTATTGGTCTTTGTTTATTAACTTTGTGCAGAGCTTCTCCTTGATATGTCGTCGAACATCAACATGCCCATTAAGCTTCTCTACCAAACTCTTTCATCACGTTTTTCTACTTGACTTGTGTATGTCTCCTTCATACGATATTTCTTCTTCACAGCATCGACATCAACCATGTTCTATTGAGATTTTCTTTGGAACAAGCTACTCATGACCATAGTATCAACAGAAATAGTTCTTCATCGATACACAAGAATTCCTATCTCTCGCTAGTTGATCCTATCACCACTAAAAATTTCTCTATTGATGTACAAAGATTTTTATCCCTCACTATTAGTCCCGTCGATATAAAGTTCTTTTCCATCGATGCCCATGGATTTTTATCCTATGATATTGATTGTACAGTCTTAGGGTTTCTCTTCACGATAATCAAGGATTCCATCCTACATTACTGATATCATCGCCAAACTCCTCTTTCATCGGGACTCAAATGTCTTTTGTAATTATGGTTTTCTTATCCAAACTCATGGTTTTCGTGGCACCGTGCATTTGAGGAAAGATATTAAAGATATAGCTATCACAACAACCCTCTACAATACTCATAGCTATATATAGCTCTTTTATGGCTTATTTACTCTTACATGTAATATTTAATCTTGTACAACTCATGTACAGTTCAATCTACTTGAGTCTCTACTTGTATATATAGTGTATTATCCTCATCAATAACCACCACATTTAACTTACTAGACATATTCACGACAAGGTTCTCATATTGTATGTAAAATATGTATGATTTAACATCAGTTGACTAGGAAAGGATAATTTCTGAAGTAAAAAGGATGGGGGACTCATGAATCTAAAGAACTTAGGATTAGAAGAAGAAAACATGGCACAAGATACAACTTTTGTACTGTGAAGAAAAATGAGTATCATATTAACAATTAAGAAATATCTCACAGTAATCATTTTTACGGTAATGCATAAATCACTCATCAAGATGATGGTATTGAAGATGATATGGTTCATCAATCAAATCATGATGGCTAAAGGGGGTAGTAGTTTTGGAATCATATTTTATCATAGAACATTTATAAAATTAAAGGGAAACTTTTCCATAACAACTATAAAGATCAATACAATTTATGAATCAGAATAATGGGCAATAAAGAACAACATGTGCAAAAAAGAATACAAAGATCAGAATGATACAATGGACATGTGGATTTACACTAGAACATAAGCTAAGGAATTGTCTACATTTGTAGGAAGTTCGAGAAATTCTCAAATTCTCCAAGACATCAAACCTCTAGAGGTACAGCATGTGACTTTTTTAATGGTTATCTTAGAAGCTTAGTTCATGACCAAAAAATTGACATTTTGTGTCATGACATGATAATACATATATATCCTAAGTAAAGGCATACTCCAAAATTAGGATATATGCCTATGGTTACTAAGGTTGTATTCCATGGACACAATATCTACGACCTCCCAAATTGGAACAAATGTTGCACATATAAAATCAACCACCTGGAAGGTGTATGATTTATCACTTACTGTATGTTACGCAAAAAAAATTGGTTTACCAAACACCAATATCGAGAAAGAAGGCACAATATTTTACACAGTTTGACAAAGGAATTTCCCCAAGACTATAAATTTGAAACACATACCATATCATTGAGCTGCGCGGCAAGGAGGAGATAGTGAAATAAACTATACCAAACACAATCAAAACTTAGGAGATTCTTAGCACTGTACATTAAGCTATGACGCAATTGTTCCTCAGCTAAACCAACATTCAAATTAATAGTAGTGGCTTCCGGACTTTATTCCCTATACAAATGAACCAGGTAACTTAATGCAATTGTGGAAGCTTCTCATAAAGAAAAGGCTAAAAACTTATGATGTTGTTGATTGATCTGGGAGACTTAGAAAATCTCATTCCAAAGAGCTAGTTCGTAAAGGGAGGGACCCCAAATCTCTTATATATCCACATTGACTAATCAATGTGGGACTAACCGGAGTCTAACCTAGCACCATGCTTCCACTGTCGTGGCACCCACAAGGGTATGGGTATGCACTAGTCTAGCCTCAATCAACCACTGCAATCTAGCATCCCTTTTAAGCTTTGCACTAACTAGTCCCACGCGAACACTGCAGTGCCAGCCTCACCACATGTCCCCTCTTGGAACTGGGAAGGTGGGCTCGGCTCTGATACCATTTGTAAGAGATCCATACGAACTCACCCTTAAATCTAGTTGTTAGCAGGAGGAAACTCAAATCTTTTATAATCGAACAAATTTTCACTTCAGCCCATTCCAATTTTTTATTATTGAAATCGACCCCTTTTTTATTTATCAAAACCGACCCGATTTCGTGATTAGCAGCTTAATCACCTTCCTAATTAGTCGGGGTTGCCAACCCCGACTATTTAGGACATTAATTTTTAGGGTTTAAGACTTCTAATTAGGGTTTAACACTCTCCTAAATAGTCGGGGTTGCCAACCCGACTAATTAGAAAGGTGATTAAGCTGCTAATCAAGAAATCGGGTCGGTTTTGGTAAATAAAAAAAAGGGTCGATTTCAATAATAAAACAATTAAATGGGGCTGAAGTGAAAAATTGTTCTTTATAATCCCACATTATATAATCAGTTAGTCAATATGGGAACAAATAGCCAACACTCAGACAGGGACTTATCAAAACGGAAAGGTGGGGTTGGCTCTTATCATTTTTGTTTTAAAGCTTGCATAAAAATTACAATATACAACGTTTTTTTTATAATTATAAAAATTGAGGATCTCACAGTCGCGTAAGCTTTAAATTTCTCCCTTTTCATGGAAGCATAACAGAATCTATGGCAGAATCACGGCCCTAGTAAGTAAATAACGAAATCAGAAGGAGGTGATGGCGAGATTACCTAGCGAGGGCGACGAAGAGATTGAAGAACTCAGCGGAGTCAAAGCGAATGGATCCGCTTCTCGCGTTCATGATGTAGGTTAGGCGCTCAACGATTGCCTTGAGGCGATAGGAATTGGCCTCCAACAGCGACGAGAACTTCAACGGTGTCGAAGAGAGAGGAGCTGCTGGAGCTGAGCAAGCGTTCGCCATTGATCGAAAGGTGGCCGAAACCCTAGTTTTGGCTCTTCTTCTCCATTATTTTCTGGTCCCTTCTACAAGAAATTTTTTTTGGAATCTTTTGCTTTTTATTTTTTATTTTATTTATCTCCGCCCTAAATTTTGGAGGGCCTTTAACTGGTGAAGAAGAGGGGCTAACTTTCTACAATTATTATTAAGAATTCCGATGCTGGCAATCTAACTTCGCTATTTATTTGGCCTTCTTAGATATTGGTCATTTAAATCTTCCATAATTTAATTTAGTCCCTATAATTCTTGAAATAATCGGTTGCTCCCTCGAATCATGAAGGTTATTGTAATTTGGTCTTTATGTCATTTCTCCTAGTCAAATTTGTAAGACATTGTTGGGTTTAAAGCATCTCCAACAGCTTCCCCATTTTATTGGTATTCTCACTTTTGAAGAATTTTAGGCTTTTTTTTTGTCCAACAGATTCCTCATCTCATTCCCGAAAATAGGGATGAAGGAGAAAAAAATGGGAGTCTTCCCCAAATCTGGGGCATTCTTCAAATATTTGAGGAAAACTTTGTCATAAATACAGCACGTTGTTCAAAACGGGATGGAGGAGAAAATAAATATAAAACAAAATCTGTAATTACAAAAAAAGCCATGGGGCGCAATTCCAATGCATAAGAGCATCCCAAAATAGGGATGTATAATATTTTTATTATAATAATAAATATAAGATTCTTCAAAATGGAGAAGCTGTTGGAGTTGAAGCAAAAAATAATTTGGAGAATATGACTTTTGCTTCCCCATTTTGAAGAAATTTTTGGGAAACAGTTGGAGATGCTCTTAGTCATTAGGGTTTTTTTCATAGAAACCACCTTTAAAATAGGGTCCAATTATAGGAATCACCTACTTCTTTCAATTAATACTGGAAGCACCTTAAAACATTATTTAGGTGTCAATCAACCACCTACAACCAAATTCAGTTCACTTTTTATCTAAAATGTCATAAATACCCTCATTATCATCATCCTCATCCTCATCATAAAATCCTCAACAAACATAACTAGGAGAGAAGGTAAAAAGAGCTAGAAAAACCCAAGGTCCCTTCTCTCTCTTTCTCCAATCTCAGCTCGGTAAAGCTTAGATTTTTGAGGTGTTCGGGGTGGAGAAAAAGACGAAAACTCCCTCTTTTTGTTCTCATCTGGTGATGTATCCATCTCAGCAGTGATACAACTCTCTCAATCTCTGCAACCTGCCGTTGTTTCTCTTCGTTTGCCCCTTTTGCCCATTATCCATATGATGTGTTATTTGACTTTGAATTCAACTCACCAACCATATTACTGTTCCACCAACCTAAAAACACTATTCCACCAATTCAAAGTACTATTCCACCAACTCTTTTGAAAGCTATAAATAGAGAAAAGTGGTAAAGGGTTAGAGCATCGAACAGAGATCCATAACTAAGAGAAAAAGAAAGAGAGAGTTGAAGAGAAAAAGAAAAGGAGAGTTTTATTTGAGTGTTCTCTTCTTTGTGTGAGTTTGGTGAGATATTTGAGTGATCTCCCTTTGTAATCTTTTCTTTTGTGATTAGTGAAGTTCTCTATTTGTTCTCGTCTGTAGACATAGGTCATACTGACCGAACCACGTTAAACCATTTGTGTGTTGTTCTCTTTATCTTCATTGTGTTTATTCAGTGTTGTTATTATCCACTTTTGTATAGACATCTTCTGTGTCTGTGAAGGCCCCCGCTGCAACAAACTGGTATAAGAGCCTGACTTAGAGTGCGTGTATCTGCTTATCATGTGCTCTGTGGCTACCACTAAAAGTGGACCCTTCACATTAGAAAATAAGTTAGATTATCGTTCACCCTTTAAAGACACTGGGCACTATTTATGAGTACAGTACTATTCACAAGTACGGTTACTGTTTACAAGTACGGTTACCATTCTAGTGGGCTTCAAGATGTCTTTTGTAAAATACAAAATGGAGAAATTTGATGGGAGAAATAGCTTCAGTTTGTGGAGAGTAAAAATAAAAGCTCTCCTAGTACAACAAGTGTTAGACCCTAAAGGGGGGTGATTAGGGTCTTATACTAATCTAATCCGATTTTATGCCAATTGAAACTAATTAACAAGTTATCCTAGCAAGTATAAAATACAACAAGATATGTGAGCTAGGATAACTGATATACACAAGGGTAAACAAAATAAACAATATAGTGGATGATATAAATAATGAGCAATGGACAATGACGACAAGAAATATAAACATAAGAGTAAGTGCGCCAAAGCAAGCTCAAACACATGAAATGATCACGGAGTTCGAACCTTTCGTCCTACGTCTCCACTCCCCACTCCCGGGGAGAAATCCACTAACACAACCGGGTTTTTTACGATCACCCGAATAACGTTTACACCACACAACAACACAATGTAACTACACTCCACACCCTCTAAGTGTTGGTCACTCTGTGTCCTTCCTCAAGTGCTCGGATATAACCTCTCCCTAGATTCGTCAACCGACGCCACTCCTCTTGGAAGCAACTCCATCTCTCACCACACACTCCTCTCGGTGTACTAGTGTAATATAAAGTGAATCTCATAATAAGGCACAATACAAAGTGTTTGTTCTCTACAATGGATGAGAACAAATTATAAGCTCGCTCTCTAGGTTACACAATCCCACAACTCAATTTTACTATGAATGTAAATACAATAAGCTCAATAGGTTGTGTGTGAACAAAGAGATATAAATCAAAACTAAACTCAAGATAATTCTAGCTTAATAACAATAAAAATCAAATATATAAAAGAGCTAGAAATAGAGTTTAGAAAACTTCTTAATAGATCAAGAGATCGAGGAAGAGTAGTTGGATGCTTAAGCACCAATAGGATCTCCTCAAGCTCTTGTGAAATTAATTTTACAAACTCAAACTCTCAAATGCTTAAAAGCTTCTTAAACACTCTTTTAAACAAAAACAAAACAAGTTTAAACCCTTGTTAAACTCTTTTAACACATTCTCTTTTTCTATATTGAAAGATGAGAGCAATGGGGTATTTATAGCATCCCAAAACCTCAGCCAAAAACCCAACAGAAAAGACCAAAAAGCCCAAGGAAAACAGCTCAGGAAAAGAGCCATTGGAACCTGATTGACAGATCACCGTGGAAAACGCGCGGTCGACCGCGAGCAGGTCCAGAAACTAATTTGGGCTCTGGACATCAGCCGGTCGACCGTGGCAGTCGACCGTGAAACTCTCTGGACTACATCCAGTCGACTGCCATGATCAACCGTGAGCCTCTGAAAATCATGTTGAGTCTCTGGACTCAAGGGCGGTCGACCGTGGTGGTCAACCGTAAACTGACATATGACAATTACAGGTTTGAAACAGTTTTTCTGACTTTAAAACCATGTTTAAAAATATCAAACAAATTCTAAAAATTATGAAACTTTGAGAAATGATTATAGATATGATAATACATATGTTACAAAAACTGGTTTTCAAAAAGGACCTTCCAAATGATAAATATCATCATTTTGCAAAATAGTCCAAAACATAAAAATGTAAACACATGAGTTTTGATATTTTAGCTTAATCATGTTTTGAAACATTACAAAATAATTTTTGCAGACTTAATAAAAAGATGTATATGATTATTGTTAAGTCCAAAAACTGAGAATACAATATTTTCATAAAGTTGCATATTTTGCAAACATTTCAAAAGTAAATATGATTTCATTAAACTAAATAAAATTGATATTGATAAAATCATATATATGGATGTAAGAATAAAACAAAAATATGTTTTCTAATTATATTCAATTGTTTCATATTAAAACTTGAAAACTATCAAACCAAAACATATATGTATATATATAACTATATATATACAAAACCAAAACGTGTATGTGTGTATATGATTGAGCTTAAAGTACTAACACACATAATATAAAACCTAAAACTAAATTTACCCAAGCTTGTGATCTTCAATGAAGCTCTATCTTGGTATACTTGCGGATGAAGCTTGAACTTAAATCTTTAACTTTGAATTGCGTAGGCTTCACTCCATAATTCCGCCAACCTCCATTGGATATGATCGTGAATGTGCAATTCCATCCATCCTCCAACACGTTGTTTGTCTATAATAAATAAGAAAATACAAATACTAGACAAACAACATTAGTGGTAAATTATTTGTTAAACATCATCAAAACAAAGAGGCCAACAACAAGGACTATTCAAAGTCTTGTCAGGAAAGGACAAGTTGTCGGAATTCATGCTAGATGATGAGAAAGAAGAGTTGGAGATGAAGGTGCATAGTGTCATACAGCTTTGTTAGAAAGCTTGTACATGAAAAAATCTCTAACGAACAAGCTCTACTTGAAGCAACGCCTCGTCACCCTTCGCATGAAGGAATGTATACGGATTAAAGACCATTTAGATGAACTTAACACTATTTTTATGGATTTAAAGAATATTGATGTTAAAATTGATGAAGAAGACCAAGCCCTTATTTTGTTATGTTCACTAACTCCTTCATATGAGAATTTTGTTAATAGCATGTTATAATGTAAATATACGCTTTCTTTAGAGGATGTCAAATCAGTCTTACATTCAAAAGAGTTAAGATAGAAAGTGTCAGTCGTAAGAGAAGAGGATCAAACTGAAGGCTTGTTCGCTCGTAGTTATCCTGAAAAGGGTATTGGTGCATATGCAAATCTAGAAATATGTCTAGATCAAAGTTCTAGGTAAGAAAAAATATTGAATATTATCACTGTCACAAGTATAGGCATATAAAACCTAATTGTCCAGCGCTCAAAGTAAAGGATAATTCACAATCGAAGTCTGCGGAGGTGAAAACTTCAGTTGCCACTATAACTGAAGAAACTTCTAGTTCACATGAAGTTCTTTCAGTTAGTGTTAATACTCATTCACAAGATGAGCAGGTTCTTAATTCGGGTTGTTCCTATCATATGTGTCCACATAGGGATTGGTTTGTCACATATCAATCTATTAATGGTGAGAATATCTTATTGGGAAATAATATGCCTTGCAAGACTGTTGGTACCAGGTCAATAAAAATTACAACCCATGATGGTATTATTAGAATATTGAGCAATATCCGATATATACCAGAGTTAAAGAAGAACCTTATTTCTTTAGTTACTCTTGACTCAAATGGTTTTAAGTTTTTGGCTAAAGGTGGAGT